TGGGGAATGAAGAATATATATATGGTCGGCACATTCTCTAGCACAATCCAACGCCTGCACAACCCTTGTTTAGCACTGTTCCCAGACCCCGAAAGTGGTTGCGTAAGTACGCTCGTATGGGCATTTGGAGATCATCGGCACGCTGACAAATGAACCGGCTCTTGGGAGGTACTTGTTACCAATGTTGGAGTCTCATAAAGCCTTACATACCGATAACCCATTCTATCGCGAGTGTTGCCGTATTTACAAGTAAGTATTCAGCTCGCGATGATTGTTTCCAGTGGACCCCATTGGCTGCTGCGTATGGACACCATGTAAATAACTCGCTTCTTACAGATGTGCATACACCCTAATGGAAGTGCTAGTGGGGGCTTTGCCTGACTTGCCTAGTCGAGTCTAGCAAGTTCTTGTTAAGTAGGGGAATAGGTGGATTGTACCTAAGGATCCAATTGGCCAGTTCGTACGGTCATCCTAGCGCTCTCTCTTGAAAGACCACAGGTAATCTTTCCGATCTCGTCATATTTTCTTTACCGCTGCTTTCTTCGCTATTAGGTACGAAAAATATGGGACCAAGGCGACGTAAGAGGGCGAAGTAAGAATTCGAAACCATGTCTTCGGGATTCAGTGGCACATCTGACGCCATGTACACCGGACACCTCGGGCCTGCGGCGAGTCGTCAAGGATGAAGTGGAGTTAAGGAGGAATTATACTGTGTATAGCAAGTGTACTACTAGTATTCTACACAACTATAAATAGGGTGTCAATGGCCAAAAGCATGAAGCAATGAAGTCCGACATGAAATCCAGCAACAAGATTCTTTGTCACAGTTGAATTTTGCATACTTCTATTTCATAAATCTATAAAGATCCAACAAAACAGCAAGCTCGCACGATCCTTTCAACAACGAACATAATTGGGTGCAAAGCTGTTCGATTTCGTCATGCAGCCAATCATCTACCTGGTCCTCACAGCTCTGACATACTCATCTGTGAATGGTTGCCTATCTGGCCATCAAGCACGGCATGAAAGGAATGTCTCTTACATTGAGGGACAGCTGAAATTACTTGGAACACGGAGCCAGTATTCACCACCAACGAGTAAGACTGCTCTTACAAACGTCCGTGTCTTCGACGGGTGGCGAATCGGTAAACCTAGCACTGTGGTGATCGATGGGGATATCATAACTTTCGATCCTCGCGGCGCAAAGAATATCATCGACGGCAAAGGTGGTGTTTTGCTTCCAGGGTTGATCGATAGCCATGCTCACGTCAGCTCGTTGGCCAGTCTCCAGACCCTGAGCAGTTTCGGTGTTACAACTGTCTTAAATATGGGCTGCTCGAATTACACGTTATGTGCCGCCCTCCGCAACCAGATTGGACTCACATCCTACTTCAGTGCGGGAGAAGGCGCCGTCGCACCGAACAGCACTCATGCCACCGCGTTCGTGTCTCGAGGCTTGGTGTACTCGCCATTCCAAGCACAACAATTCGTGGCTGATGTCTTTGGAAATAGCTCTGATTATATGAAGGTCATCTCAGAGCCCGATGGCTTTAACCAGACTATCCACGATGCGCTTGTTAGTGCGACACATGCGCTAGGTAAGGTCTCCATGACCCACGCCCAAGACTACGGATCATATGAAGTCGCCATACTGTCCAAAACCAATGGTATCCAACACGTACCATTTGACATACCGCTTACGAAAGAGATGGCACAACGCATAAAACGACAAGGGCAACATGTGACGCCAACCCTGAACATCGGCAGGATCGTCGCCGGGAATGCGACCCTAGAATCGGTACTTGCCGGCGGCCAAGGCTTGTCATACGAAGCTGGAGTGACCAGTGTACAACGGCTGATGCGTGCTGGCGTTCCGATTCTCGCCGGAACTGACGCCACTGACATTGCCAACAACTTTATCGGGCATGATCAGGTTGGGGTTACTCTGCATCGCGAGCTACGATATCTGACAGAGGCAGGCATGAGTGAAGTGGATGTGTTAAGGGCCGCGACGGTGATGCCCAGTATCTGGCACAATTTGATAGGGAGGGGATCTATCAGGGAAGGATATCGTGCAGATCTACTCCTATTGAAACCGGGGAGCGATCCACTACGGAACATCTCAAAGACAATGGACATTGCGAGGGTCTGGAATGGAGGCGTCGAATACGTGCCAGTTTATTCTGGTGTTGTTTAATGTAAGTAGTGGAAGCGCTGCCATTTCATAAGTGCAAAGCAAAGTACCAGCTGTCAGAGGATGGGTTTGCACAGAGTACTGGAGTCAACAATTTGATTTGATCCGCCGATCCAGTCCCTATATGCAAGCCTACTTCTGGCCCACCTTATGTATCAATGCATAGCTTAGTAGTAGTTCAAGCCTGACTATTATTAATGTTTATCTCCCTAAGTTTAGACTGTTGACGCAGGCGAAGGAGATGTATGTAGACTAGACCACCTGGGCGCCCTTTGCCCTTAACAGGGACGTCACCGGCGACAAATACTACAAACAAACAAACAATTAATGTTTATCTTTTTTATAGACACTTAGTTATCATAAGTATAGTTAGATTAAATTTTAGGATTTGAGACAGAGGCTAATATAGGTGAGGTTTTCTTGCGTTTGGAGATGCTGTAGAATTTGTTAACATTGTGTTTTTAGTTAATCTCCTCATTTTAAAGTGAGTACATACTGTGTTCTTGGCTTTCTTCCACGACGATGATCCCTAAATCGCAGTGGAGTGACTTGCGAGCCTAACTTTTATATAAGGTATCGGTCTCTCCAGACACACATTTCATTTTCACACTTTTGGATTTTAGAAAAAGCCTTGACACTGTTTGTTTGACGCCAGGCATTACCTCAATGAGTTGTGTCTTTACGTGCGAATCGTTTACACTTACGCATGTCTAAGTCTTGGCAAACTCTCGATAGGTTGTTCCGTCAAGTTCCCTCTCTTCCCCCTTGAGCACACGCCTATAGCATTGGGAGGATGATGACCGACAGATGAGATGACAAAAAGCCGAAGTCGCTGGTCTCAGCGTCTTTAAGATCTCGATATCCCTTATCATACTCTTCCCTTTCTGTCCTCAACTCATATCTGAGCCCCTTCTCATCCGATGATAACAGAAAATGAGCCGGCCTACTATATAGATGGCCGATCTGGTTGATTTTCGGCGGCTGCTGATAGCTGGCGTCATCAGCGTAAAGTGGTGAGGAGACCAGAAGTTCAGTTTCCACGCCAGTGGTGGTTTGCAAAAAGATGCATCCGACCATGAGCGACGAATTGGAAGATCAGAAGGGTACTTGACGGCAGAACCAAAAACTTTCGATCTGTTTAGACAATTTTTAAGCAGACTAAGCAGAATGGCGGGAGGCTCAGGCAGCCAGGGAGTCAAGACGGTCCACGTTAACATGGTGACGGACACCACCATCACAAACGTTGCAGCTGAGAAACTGCGAACCAGCTTGCGATCACATTGGGCGTCTAGAAATTATAAACACCGTTGATGCAGAGACGACACAGCAAATTTGAGATAATGCGCTTCCGGCAGCGCAGGCGAAAACGCACCCAAAAGCCGACATCGTATGGCTGAGGAAGATGTAAGGAACAACTCATTGCATGTTAGGAACGACAATGGGTAAAGTAAGGTGGTCGCGAACAGGGAGGCTATTAATGCTGGACAAGTGCATTGAGAGATTGCTCGCTTTCCCTGCTAATAGACATCGATTGCGACATACCCAAGTCTCGCACCAGCTTGTACCTCCGCAGTACCAAACTTGCTACTGTGTCATCATACACACGGTCTAGGTGTTGCAATCACTAAATGACCCTCTTCTCCGCCAAAGCTGAAGACATAATTGTGGCCTCTACTCTTAGCACTGATCCTGACGCTATTCTGTGCACCACAGGATAGTGCAGAAGATTTTTGTGAATTATGGTAGGAATTGCGATGATTAAAAGCTTGCAGGGGATTTGGAGGTTGCAGAAAGTGGAAAGTGAGGCAGTGTCGGCAAGATATGAGGGATGCGGCAAGGGTGAGGAATGCTTGAACGGCGAGGGCAATACTTGAATGCATTTCTGAAGGCGGGACATAGGGTTGTGAAGAGTCTTAATGAGGCTGCAGTGCGTTCGTTATCCAAGAAAAAAGATTAAAACCAGCTGTGTACCCTTGATAACCTGTATTTCGCTCTAGAGGCTTTTTCCCTAATGCATGCACGACAACCATTAGTTTCACCCTAAGAGATCGACCCCAGCCTCCTCATGTATTAAAAACGCCTTACGCAGTGCTTATCAGAGGTTCACGGAAATTTTGACTCAGTGCTTCCCGTTCCTGTTCTCTTTCCAGCGTCGCCGCGGCGGACTATTCCATTAGTCCCTGAAATTAATTACACGCATTTCAGCCGCGCCCGCATGTCAGCTGGTATATAAGCGTCTCATTTTATGTTACTGCTAATCATGCGGAAGGTCTTACGTATTGTCATGTGGCGTCAAGTACTTCGAGCTGGGTAAAATGGTCGTGGTAGTATTGCTTTTTCGCCACATCACACCTACACTCCCAAGGAGCCGCTGTTTCAACTTGCCCGCTCAGAGTGAAAGTTACTGATTCAAAGTCGACGAGTGGTTTAACAGTATCATTTTCCAAGACAATTCATGTCAGAGGAATCAGTTAACAGCAAGGAAGGTAAATGCATTCGCTTGGTACAACCGTATTAATCCTAGGAAAATTTCTTGTTTCTTATGACCAAGAATCCAAGCAAGGTTTCCTGCAAGGCTTGGTGCTCACCTGGTTGCTTAGATTTCTTGATTACATTCAGAACGTGAGGATGGTTCCAGGCGGATTTCTATCATTTTTCAACGCAAGCTACCGATGGCCAATGACGGCTTATCTTGTTGCTCAATCTTTACTCACGCTCACCAATCCACGTACTTGGAGCCTTCTTCAGGTTGGCAATTTGAGATTGTTAAGTCAGGCAATCACAGATGCAAGACATTTTTTCAAGGCTATATCTCCAAAGTCTGCTTTAACCGGATGTCAGTTGCCGAAAATCCCAAGAGGATCTCGTACTGGCCGCGCACAAATCTCCATCCCTCAGTGTCATTATCCCATATTGTTAGATCATCAAATTTAACGATCATTTCAACAATCTGAACATCGCCAGCCTTAACTTCTGTCTTTTTAAACGCTTTCAGAAGCTTTGGTGGTTCCTTGGCGGCATCGGGATAACCAACGTAGAGCTGAATAACCTGCTTTGCGCTGTGTGTTCCTTCGTTTCTCAGGCTTGCCCTGGCAACGAATGTATCATTATTCAACGAAACCTCCAATCCTTCCAAGTTGAACGTAGAATACGTCAGCCCGTGTCCGAAGGGGAATAAGGCTCCACTCCGCGTTGGTCATAAGCCTTGTATCCCACGTATAGACCTTCCGAGTAGGGCACCTCGATGTCTGTACTGATCTGTATGGTGTCTTCCAGAGTTCTCGGAAATGTCAAAGGCAATTTTCCGCTCGGGCTCACGTCACCGAAAAGAAGATGCGCGAGCGCTAGACCAACCTGTTGGCCTGGATACCAAATCTCCATTACGCCATCCACATCCTCAATCCAGGGCATGAGGATCGCTGAATTCGTGTTGAGAATGACTACCGTTCTTTTTGAGATCCCGGCGAGTCGGTTAATAAGCGCGTCTTGATCGCCGGGCAGAGAGAGGCCTAATCCCCTCTCGGCGCCTTCCGAAAGTTGATCAGAAGCGAAAATTATACTCAAGTCTGCCCACCTAGCGAGCTCATCGGCCGCAGAATCACGTGTCTGATTGCCGACGTCTACACCGAGGGTGACGCCGTATCCACCAGTCGACAACGAGTAACCCATATTGTATTCAAGCACAAGTTGGAGTTCGGATCCGGATTTGAGGTATGCATTGCCTTGAATGGTGTTACCAAAATTCGCGTATGACATGTTCGCCACAAGGACATCGTCCAAATACAGGAGTGCGGTACCCTGGCCGTACATGGAGAAATAGTACATGCCAGTCGTGTTTGGGAGAAAGGTGGCTTCATAGATGGCCGAGAAGACATCCGGGTACGCTTGCCACAACTCAGAGGGATAGGTTGCGATTGTGATATTGGGAACAAAGTTTGTCTTGTTGACAAGGCCTGAGAAGTCGGTGGTATTGTAGTACGTCACATTCACGCCGCCGTCCCGGAACAAACTTGAGGGGACTGCGGGAATCTGCCCGGTACCGGGATATGCTTCTGCGTATTCGACTGAGATGTTATCGGTGCTTCCACGGCGCTTGAGTGCATCAAGGGGTGCTTGAACAACCATGGTAGAGTCGATAACAAAGCCGCCATGGTTCTCTGAGACTTGATTTTCGGCGGTCGCCCCAATACCAAAAGCGCAATCTTGGAGTACTTCTCAGGGGAAATAGGTAGCGTGTCTCGAGCATTCTTGAGCAGTACCGCGCCGTCTTCAACCATCCGCTGCGCCAGATCCAGGTGTTCTTGTGTGCGCACATGAGCCGTAGAGTCTCCTTTTACCGGATTGTCGACTTGTCCTAGCTTGAACATGTACCGCCAGGCTCTCTCAATCATGTCATCGAGGCGTGCCCGTGAAATTGATCCATTGTTGATAGCTTCAGCAAGAAGGTCGCCGTAGTATGCTGGGAATCCGTAGCTGTTTGTCAGATCGCCGCCCGGCATTGAGATGTCTAGCCCTGCCATGGCGGCCTTGACGGTGCTTCGAGTGGAAAAATACCAGTCCGCTACCACGAAGCCTTTGAAGCCCCAGTCTTGCCGTAGAGTAGTATTGAGAAGCCAATCGTTCTCGCAGGTGAATGAGCCATTTAGTCTGTTATAAGAGCACATGACGCTCGCCGCATCTCCCTCCTGTACGCTTGCCTTGAATGCTGGCAGATAGAGTTCATGCATCGTTCTCATATCGACAACAGGATCAACCGTCACCCACTCCGGACCTATACCGAACCTGTTCGTGTCCTGATTGTATGCTGCGAGATGCTTCGGACACGCCAATGCGCCCTGACTCTGTATCCCATTGTACCAGCAACCGCCATGCGTGCGGTCAGCCATGGGTCCTCGGATAGCACCTCGGCGGCACGAGCCCAAAGGGGAGAACGAAGGATGTTGATAGTCGGCGCAAGGACGATGTTACGACCCTTGCCCATGTGCTCCTGGCCGAGTGCTTGGCCAAATTCATACTGTAAAGACGTATTCCAGGAGCTGGCTGCCATCACTGGAGCCGGAAACGCGGTTACATTGTCTAGGGAGTTGCCGACACCAGCGGGGCCGTCGCCCATGCAAATGTCAGGGATACCGATGGTAGAGTTTCCTCAGATGTGTCCGATACAGGCATTGACGCCCGTCCCATTGTCTGTCAGCTATAAACAACTTGTCAATGACCGAGGAACTGAATTTGCAGTGGCAGTAGTCGCAGATATACTGACCTCCGTATCACCCTGTACCATGGCGAGTTTCTGGGCATCGTTGAGTTGAGCTATAAATGACAGAAGTCGTTCTTCTGTTGACAGGGCCTTGTTAAGCCATGGCTGAGCCGCAAGCGCATTTGAAGCTAACAGCACATGCAAAGTATGAATTGTTGACCTCATTTTATTTAAAATGCGAGAAGGAAGGGAAAGTGATATGATTATTTGCCTTCACAATGCAGCGGGTCATTGACACAAACAACGAGCATGGCGTTTCAATCTGCATAGTCCCTCATCAAATAGTTGTCCGACTGTTGCGTTATCATGTTTCTTCCTCTTGCACTATGTTGTCGCTTGATGACAGTCGAACAAAGTTTGTTGATGCTAGTGGCCCGGCGTCCTAAGAAAACCCCACTATATGTTAGAAGACCGATGTGGACCTTCGTAAGTGCGGCTATCTGGCCATAGGCAAATTGCTATTTGGCCGTTTCTAACCACTTCGGGCAGGAACACAGCCACACAGCAGACAGATCCACAAGTTTGAATGTATCTCTCTATCTCAAGGTACAAAACGCTGTGTTACCTTGTTTTATCCTAATTATTTACCATATTCCTTACCTAAACCAAAAGCCTACACAATCCCTGATTACTGACCCTAACTATGTCCTAAACTAGAGGAGTAGGCTATCAGTTTAACTAAGAAATATAGTGAATAGTTAGGGGTGTTTATAACCTGCAGTAGAGACGGATAGGCGGGTAGGGTTGGGGTCAGGCTTGGCAAGGCAGTGTAACGGGCTGCGCCCAAGATGGGCCCTGCTGTACTTCGTGGCCGGGACCTTATCCGCAGACCAACCTTAGATAGACCTACCGCGGAACCTACAACACCAACAACCCAATAGTTAGTGCAGCGCTGCCCTGATCAGACCAACGGTAAAGGGGGGATATTTGGTTTTTCTCTTCGAATCCTTATCTAAGTGTAATTATAGTAGTTACTGTAGCACGTTATAAAAATACACGCCTTAGACCGTTATGTTATCCTTAGATTGTAAAACAATAGGGTCCTCTATACTAGATGGACAGTTTGTCTAGTAAGCAACCTTCGCTGACGGCAGGCCGGCGTCCCTGAGGAGACTGCTTGTGGGAGTTGTCTTCCAAACGAGTATAACTGCCCTTGCTGCCGCCGTGATGACCTTTTAGATCATGCGCGCAAGTCCTTGGTCTGTGTTGACTTTGATTGTTTGGGGGAGCAGACGAATGTCAGTCTTAGTGCTGCGGCTGATGGCTGGCTTTGTTGTACCTCTGTACCAGGCCTTGGCGTTGATTAGCGTGATTGGTAATACGTAAGAAGTGACGGCGTTGTGGACGGTGGCCGCTGGAAGCCCTATTCTTGTGTTCATTAAATGCCTGAGGTGCTTAGCTTCTCTTTCTGCTGTAGCCACTCTCGTTTTAATATGATGCTGAAAGGATATTCTTTTGTTGAACTAGACACCTAATCAGCGCATAGACTTGGTTAATACCTTAATGTTAAGGTTTCTGGCCTTAATTGCTAATAGTTCTTTTGGCTATTTATGCTTCCTAGAGAAATAAATAGCTTTGTACTTGTTTAGGACAAAAGATACTTTGTTCTTAGTTCCCTAAATAAGGATACTAGTAGTACTGCAATTTAGTATCTCTATCCTTCTCTCGAAAGAAGGGTTTATAGCTAGAGTTCTGATGTTGTCCGCCTACCTAAATCGCAAATTTAGGTCGTCTTTAAGTATGTCTGTTTAATAAAGCAGGAAGACGACAAGAGATAGTGGAGAGCCCTGGGGCAGTCTATAGGTCAGAGAGAAATATTCTGGCGTTGTATCCTCTAAGCTGACTCTGGCAATTCGGTTATAGCAAAAGCTGAAGATTTGTCTGCTCAAGCGGCGAGGCCAGCCTTGTTGGCGTAGCCTGACGACGAGCAGGTTTCAAAGGACAGAGTCGGATGCCCCTTCCACGTCCATCATAACCAGTGCAGCCGCGATCCCTTTGTCGAGGGCCGTCTCGATGTCGTGGGTCAGGCAAATCGTTAGATCGACCGCCGATCTGCACAGCAGAGCCCGTACTTGCTGCGGGCTGGCTACACTTTGCAGGATGGTGAGATATATAAAATTCTCCTGGCTATCAGTTTCTCGAAGCCTTTGCCTAGACAAGATAGTAGGGCATTAGCCGCCAGGATCCGGGCTTGAGGCATCTCACCCCGCTGTTACGACCCAACAAGCATAACATAACCAGGGTCGCCCCACGGGCGCCTAGCGGTTACAAGACAAGGTTATATGCGGGATAGCACGGGAACACGTCAATCCCCCTCTCGGAACGGAAGAACTAAGGAAGGTCACGTGAAGATAAGAAGGACTAACAACAGATAAGCAGTCCATGACCCAGGACTAACATACCAAGGATCAGTCCTCATCAAAGACTAACTTTAAGAGAATAGTCTTAATAAGATAATAATAGAATATAAAAATAATTACTTTAAATTAAACTAAATACCTTTTATAACTCTTTAGTAATTAACTTTATAATTTATTTTTTTATAAGTAACTTTTAAATTATTTTTTTATTATAAAGCTATAAAGCTATTTATACTTAAATATATTTAACTAATTATTAGATATTAATAAACTAGTAAAATTATTAATAAGACTTATTTTATTATTACTAAATATTAGTTTTAATTACTTATTAATAAAAAATACTACTATTAGATATTTAATTATAATACTTTAATTAGTTAACTACTTTTATTTAATAAATTAACCTTAATATTTACTAAATAGTAATAATATCCTTTAAAGCTACTTTAATTTTATTTTTTAATAGATCTAAAAGAAAAGTAATTATATGTTTTAAACTTATAAGTTTAGACTAAGAAATAAAAAGTATTAAGTCCTTTAGTAATAAGAATAATAATACTAAAATAGCTAAATAACTTAAGAAGACTTATAAAAATATTATAAATATATAATAAGTATTTAATAATAATATAGTACTTTTTAATTAACTTTAAGCTAAGATCTAGTAAACTAATAACTTTAAAAAAAAGTTTATATTCTCTAAGCTATTATTAATATTATCTTAACTTTACTAAAAGAATAAGAAAAACTTAAGCTTAAGTCTTTTACTACTTATAATAAGACTTCTAGAACATTAAAAGGATTCTTAATTTAGATTAGAACCTATTAAATATTCTATATAAGTAACTTTTATATAAAAACAAAGAAAATCATTTATATAAATATCTTTTTTAAAAGGTAAGTCCTTTCTTAGTTTAAACCTTACTTAGAAGACTACTTAGATAATAAAACGCTAAAATACTATAACCTAAAGACCTAGTAGATCTTTAAAAGCTTTATAGGATTTAAGTATACCTTAAAATCCTTATTCTAGGACTTAAATAAAAAATTATAAGCTAAATAAGACTTAGTAAATCTTAAATAAACTAAATTAACTATTAACTATACTATAAAGTTCTAAAGAATCTATATATAACTTAATTATACTAATAATACTAAGATCTTTATGTTCTACTAAGAACTTAAAGAAAAAGTAAAAGATAAGCTATTTAAGCTTAACTAACTAAAAAACTTCCTATAATATATAGAAATTATAGTTAGAATTAATACTAGGTGTTAAATAGATTCTCTCTTTCTAAGAGAACCTGTTTATATAATTATACTTAGGTTAAAGTTAAGGTAAACCAAAGATATATTTTCTATGATTATCTTCCTAACTATAAGACTTAGCTTTTATACACAAGATATATAATCTTATATATCCCTAAGTTAATTCAGTATAAATATACTTTTAATCCTTTTAGTAGATAACTAAGAGCTAAATATCTAGTCTATACCTTTTACTATAATATATATCCTTAAGTTATACGTATTATATAACTAGCTAGTACTATTATTCTAATACTTATAACTTTTTCTTTTATAACTATATAACTCCTTATAGTATCTAATTAAGTTATACTAATTATAATATTAATAACCTTATTATATAACCTTATAGGTTAAGCTATTTATATTATATAATAAATCACTAATATTAAAACTCTAAGTAACTATTTATTCTCTTTTTACCTAGTTAAGTAAATAAGTTATATGTTAATAAAGTTCCTTTTTTTCTTGTTAACTTTACTTCTACTTCTACTATTAATATACCTTCTTTTCTTTATGTAATAACCTTAAGTATTTAAAACCCTTTTTATTTTTTTTTTTCCCTCTTTTCTTTTCTTCTTTACCCTTTACACATATTATTTTCCTATATAATTAATTAATAATAATCTTCTCCTTTTTCCCTAATTAACTCTAATAATAACTACTTATATATAAGATTTCCTTTTATATATTTCCTTTTACTAATTTATTAATAATACCTTATATAATTAATCTATTATATTTATTATTACCTTTAATAATTTAATCTTTAGTAATATTAATATATATACTAATATATCTAATAGTTATTAGCTTTATCTTTTAACTAATAACACTAATAATTATACTCTTCTACTAGCTTTAACTATTAATATATATTACTTTTATCTTTACCTTGTCTTTATACGTTAACCTTAACTATAAGATAAGGAGCGTCTTATTATTAATATACTGTCACAGAATATTAAGATCTGCGTTACTAGCAACACTTCTGTCCAGCAGTTTATTACCAGCATCATCCACCGCTAAGGCTATTTCCTTATAGTCTTAGTTTAGTCTTATAGTCATACAGCTATTACCTATAGCAATAAATACACAACTAATAACTCCCTACGCTTCTACCAATACACCCACATTCTTACCTTTCAAGGTAACGCTTACGCCAAGTACGTCTAGTAGTCGCAT